CGTACCTTGCAACATTTTGTTCCAAGGGCAAACCAGATTTGATTTGCGCTCTCTCCAGCCGAACGCTTTATGCCAGGGCTGACACCCATCACTACATATCGCCAGCCGCAGCTCAACTTTGGCACTGTACACAGTAAGGGTGTTCAAACCGTTATCTCTCCAGTGGAAGGTGCGAGAGGATAGAAGAACTTTTTCCTATTTGATAGGGAAGGGAACGTTTTCAACACCCAGCTCATTAGATGTTCGCCCATCATAAATTTCTCACATGTTAAGATAGAAATTTTGGAGAATTTTTACGACACAATAAAATGTCGTAGAAACAACACGCAGACGCCATTGCCACCTGACCTCGCCGTAGTTAGAAAGGCAAACACCACACAGCTGATAAGACAAGAAGTGCGATAAGACAGAATGTTTTTTGACAACAGAACTTTCTTCAACACCAGAAGACCGACATAGGTGTGCGACTGTGAAAAATGGCACGAAAACAGCTACACCCTTCGAGAATCAAAATTTGGAATTTTCAATCCTTTTGATAATTCTGAACGCTTTCTCATCCGACGAAACATAGCAATGCAAGCAAATTAGCCAGTGTTGGCTATGGGACTATTTTGTTGGCGTTCAGCGAGAAGATCAATAACAGGCCGAAAAAAGTTCAATGGTTTGCCATGCATTGGTTTTGAAAAATTTTGCCTACCCTTTGTGGGATTTCTTAAAGTGGCTTTCTAAGACAAACTTTCACCGCATGAACATAGTTGTGGTGTGAGATCGTACCCGAGTTCAACGGCGTGTGGGCGTGTCATCGCGCTTTTCCTCCTCACTCTCTGACACGCCCCTCCTCACGGTCAGTGCGACAATCAGAGAGCGTCAAGTTCACGGGTAACTTTTAGGAAATCCCGATTTCATCTTTTCTGTCATTGCTGCTTGCTCTCTTCGACATTTCCTGTGGTGATTCCTGTCGTGATTATAGAGATAATCATGTAACCACAAGAATGATGAGTTGTGGGCAAAATTTTCGCCTTAGTCGGGATTCGCACCTGGATCTCTTGCTTTCCAGCCATTGGTGTAGCAACTGATGGCTTTTTCCGACGCAGATCCGACGGGAAACTGCAGTCATCCGATAGAAACAGGTCAAATATAACAAACCAGGTGTACTTCATGATTCTGTCCCGAGGTTTGTAAGCCGTAATGAAGTTCCCACCTGCAAACCTCGTGGCAGAAGCATGAAGAACGAACCATACTGAGGTTTCAAGATGAGAGACCTCGGCGTAACCATGTGTTTAGTCCTTATTATCGCTTTGAACAAGCGAATATTTTTCGTGCCATCATAACCAACTGGATTGC